AGAGAGAGAGAGAGAGAGAAGGGAGAGATTTTTGAGAGAAGAAAATTATATATCAGATTTCGAAAGTGAAGTTTAAACGCGCTTTGTAATCGCTTTTCGCGACTATTCGGTAAAAGGGAGCCACGCATGGAAATGCAGGTAGAAATTTCTGTGGATACGGAGCTTAACCACGTCAAAGGTATCGGATCCTGCTTGATCCTCTCCAGAATTCTGTGAAGCTTCATTGGGGAATCGCAATGTGATCGTGTTCCACGGTGTCGGGTCACGGGTCATAAACAAACGCTTTTGTAAGGCCACGTTTCAACGTGGAAAGGAAACGTTGGATCAGGGTCGCGGAAACCTCTCTGTCAAAGTTGCGAGAAAATGCGGTGTTCGCGATTGAAAAATTGAAAATATCGATTCGATTTCTTCTTTCTTTCCTTCTCTTCTTCCTCCACGTATTTCGTTTTTAAACGCACGACAAAAATGTGAATCGAAAATGGACATCGTGTTTGTATATAAAACTAACTCGAAAGAAAAAAAAAAAAAAAGAAAGAACTCCAATGTTAACCAACGTTAACGCGGACGACGCAGTTCACGGAAGCATAGATGGAAAAAAGAGAGAAAAAAAAAGCGGGATTTTCTCGAGTACATTTTACCGATAACGTCCTTTCTACTCCTTTTTCGGTCTTCATCCCTCGAGAAGAGAGGGATGTTTTCACAGAGGCGCGCGCATAATCTATACACGAACACATCCGCAACCGGTCAGAGACACCAGTGTGCCGATGTTGACACGTTATTGGCAGTTCAAGGGCTGAAAATGCCCGGCCGGCAGTATCGGTCCCCATTTTCCAGCTTTACGATGACGACCATTGTTATTGGCATAGTATAGCCCTACCAGCAGGAAAATTGTTGGCGATGGGGGAGTGCGCGAGTTAAAAGAGCGAACTTTATCATCGAGCACGGCAATACACTTGATCACCCCTCTATCTATATGGAATAGTGTATAGTTCTTTTTTTTTCAACTTTCCAATAGGCGCTTCAACTTCCACCTCCTTTTGTTAAAAACCGCTTTCGCGGTTTTATCGCAAACCGGTCAAATTCATTATTCCTCGATTCATGATTAATTTATAGGTCATGCTTATAAACGGGAACGCATGAAACGAGATATTATCGTTGAATCGTATGAAATAAGGACGAACGTACGCGTCGAACGCGTTAACTTTAAGGTATAAGGAGAAAAGGAATTTCTGGAGAAAATCATTCCCTCCATCCGATAATTAACCGGCTTCGATTGAAAATTGGTTTAATCCCGATTCTACTCGGGAACGCGAAACTTAATCCATAAATTTTTGATTTCCCCTTCCAATCTTTTCGCGTACGTTATCGATCGAATCGACCAACATCTTGTGGAAAATCTAAACACCATAAATTTTCACCGGAATCCAAACTGTTCCCGATCGATTTGACGATAACTTCCCCTGACAAATGTGTTTTGCTCCGCAAAATTGTGTCGAGCGAGCTATACGCAACCGAAATGGGATCATCTTGTTTTCTCTATCGAGATTCGTTCGTATAAATTTTTCTTTTTTTTTTTCTCGTATCCATCCCGAAACTCGAATTTTTATTTGTAGTTTTATGAAAAAAAAAAAAAAATTGTCTAAAGCGTACGAATCGTTGGAAGAATAAAGAAAAAAGATTTTTCCCCTACCTCCTACGATGATGACGACGATGACGTTGCTTCGACGTGTTCCGCGTGCTGCTTTCCGGTTGGATGGTGAACACTTCCTCGATATTTTCCGCGTTCAAATTTCTCATTTGATTGGTGGCCTCGGTGGTCGTGGGAAACGCGTTCAACTCTTCAGACGTTCTCAAAAATGCTTGCATCGATTTTGTAGCGTTCGACGCCGTTTGCGAGGCTTCACGTCCTTGTTTTCGAGCGGAATGCCTCTTCTTCGTTGGTGGGGTCGTTGACTCTAACCTAAACGTATTTCACAAACGTTTCCACAAATTTAAAATCTTTCCTCTAAGTGGGGGAAAATCTCTAAATCGAAATATTTAAATATTCTTTCCTTTTTTTTTTACAATCTAATAAAAGCTTAAAAAAAGAATATATATAATATATATAAAATATATCATAAATATATAAAAAAGGAAAGGAGGAGGAAAAAAATGTATTTGAAAATTCGAGCTATTTCCAGTGAAGAAAGAATAAGCTAAAAAAACGCACGCGATATATCGAAAAGCGAGTACAATACCGTTCTTTATCGCCAGCTTTTAATTAATATCGCAGTTACAAAAGTCACCTTAATATTTTTAATTGGCATCGAACACGCGAAAATATATCACAGCAATCCACAATTTTTTCAGATAAATTTATTATTATTATCCACGCCGCTTATTCCAAACGTCGATTTTGAAAACAAAGAGCATTACGGACGCAATATCGCCCGTAAATAAAAAATAATCCATAATTTAAAGCGAATTTAAAGCGCCGTTGAAAAAAATTGAATTCGACCCTATCCAAACCGAAAAATACAACAAATTTACAACGATTTACGAATAATAACGATTGATCCATTGAAATATCTCGCTTTTCTTTTTTTCCTTTTTTTTAGAAAGAAATATCTCGCTATTTTTCTCTCGATAAAATTCCTCCGTCTTTCATCTCGGGGGGGGGGGGGAGGAAGGAAAAAAAAAAGGAGACAATCGAGAAAATTATCAACGGTGTCGTCACATGTTGGTCGACAATTGAAAAGAAAGAAAAATAAAAAAAAATCTCGCGCTCAAAACGCGGTGGTGGAAGAAAAAAAAAAAGAAAACGTTGGCGTGAAATTTTCGTGGCGCGACGTACCTGAATTCAACGCCTTCGTCCCTCACCCCAGGCCTGGCGTCCTCGTTCCTCGCGTTAAAACTGAATCCACCCTCGAGCTCGCCGTCCATGCTGTATTGATTCCGGTCCACCATAATTGGTTCGGATTTCTCTTGAGAAGCCACCATCTCCTCGTTCTCCTGATGCGGCTCGTTACCGTCGTGCTCATTTTTGAATTGGAGAATCTCTGAAACGAGATTGCGTATCCGCGGCTGACACGCGCTCCAAGAGATCGAGAGATCGAGTCGGGAGAACAGGGATGGAAAAGTTTCGCTCGTTGTTCCTTTGAAAAACTTCTTTTTTCTTTTTTTTCTTTTTTTTTCTTTCCCTTACCTGTGAGACCCTCCTCCTCGACCTGGAGACCCTCTTTCAGGACCTCGTCCCGATATTTCTCGAGCTCCTCCAAGAAACTCTTGTTGAGCTTTTGCTGCCTCCATTCGGTCTCGTATTTGATGTTGGGCAGAGCGATGTCGCCCAGAAATCCGCCTGAAACGGAATAAAACACCCGTCTGAATAAGGAAAAACGAGAGAGAGAGAGAGAGAGAGAGTTACCTCTGAAAAAAAGTTATTAAAATTCTCTATTCTCCGCGTAATGCCATTCTCAGAAGACGAAGAAGGCGAGTTATTCGAGACTTCAGAATTCATAGAGGAACGAACTTGTTTTTCTCCACCTATCGAGTTCGCGTAAAATCATCACGAGAGTTCAGAGAAACTTGCCTAACATTTAGGGCAGGGAAGAGGTCATGGTCTGCTCGGCGAGCAGCGGATCGAGTCGAGATTCCAGAGATGATGGGAAAACCTCCAAATACCGGGGAGAGTTACGGTGTTTGCAGGCACGTGAGCTAGGGGAAGGCGACGTTCCACGACCCAATCGTGACCCGATATAGTCGTCCTACGATCCCTGGAAGATCGGCAACTTATCGACACGACGAATCTGTGACGAAAGGATCCCTACGAATCAGAGGATGTTCGATCGAGATCTGATAACCTTGAAGAAAATCGAGATCCCGTTATCTCTGTCGATAAGGAGTCTTACGAAATCTTACGATTTTCCACGATAAATCGTAGAAAATCTTACCATTTGAATGCACGACTCGCGATAAACTTGTTCGAGAGTAATTTCTAGGAATTCGAGGTCAATCGTCTTCCGATGACCCGAGACGAATCGCGTAACCTCGACAAAAAAAAAGAATAACGATTCGATACAGTTATGAGGATTAAAGATCGTAAAACTCGTACATTATATTATGCCTGGACAAACGAGAATTCTTCGGATCGCGGTTTTACGATTCTCTGATCGGTCGTACGTTTTACGTCGTCGAGATGGATCGAGTTCCAAGCGCATGACAAATCTTAAAATAACCTCAAGATCAAGGAACTCGACACACAACCTCGTAGTTGTCCGCTTCGGAAAACGTCTCGTTTTCCACTATTTCCATTGAATGGTTAACCGAGTTAACGGTTGACTAGCAAACTGTTTTCCATCTCCTCCTCCTTCCTCGAACCGTACGATTGTTTACATCGTTTTCTCCAATTTTCTCTCCTCATTGATCTTTTTCCCCCCTTCGTTTTCGTTTCATTTCGACGGAAAAAAAGTAACAACGACTCAACTTTCAACTTCTCGTCGCGGTTACCCTTTTAACCCTTTGCACTCGTGTTTATTTTTAAGAAAGTTACCGATCAAGTAACAAGAGTAGAATGTGATTATATCATACATATATTTACTAATGTACAATATCTCAATTCAATCCTTCGACAACCGTTCGAATCGAAAATTTCGTAACTTTCCTCTTTTCCCTTCCTTCTGAAATTCGAGAAACGCGCTGGATCCGTGTCCAACGGTGTGTACACGCGCTGACAAAGATTGAACATCATTCCCTTCAATGGCCACATAATTCTCCAATTTTCGCGTAGCCCGCGCGATTCGACGTTCATACGTCTTGTTAGCGATGCCAGCCGATTATATAGGAGTTATAGGAGGAATTTCCAAGACACTGAGTCCGCCACTGTAATGTGCCGCGTTGCACAGCCTTATTATCAACGTCTATAAATCACGAGACTGTGGTTTTATCGGTGAAGAGAAGAGAGAGAGAGAGAGAGAGGGAGGGAGCGAGTTTGTTCGGGTGCAGTTGTTACGAGCGATGTAAACAACTTCGACCGTGTTATCGGATACGAGGAGCGGGTCGAAGATTCGTGACGAGAAAAGGGAACGAGTGGGAACGGTGATGGATGGAGGGGAGTGGAGGAAAAGAAGTAAGCGGAATATGGTCGGTGAACATTCTGAAAAGTCACCTGATACGTTCACAGGCCGAGATAACTTTGGATCGAATTCAACATTCAGGAACAGTACGTACATATTGAACTTGATCCCGTCCATATACTTATCGCGGTGTAAAACAAATTTTAACGGTTAAACTTCCTAGTCTCCTCTCCGATAACCACAAATTCCAAGTATTCTCCTATCGAATTGTTGAGAATAAAATTGTTTCTCGAGAACTTTAGACTCTTTTTCTTTTTGTTTTCTTTCTTTCTTTATTTTCGAACAATAACAATCGCGATGCTTCATATTTCCTATTTCCATTTGGAATTTCGCACGTAAATGTACTTGGAAAATACGTATTGTTTTTTTTTTTCTTTTTTTTTTTGTTAATTTTCTTCCCACGATCCACGTGCGAGATTCCAATATTTCGCTTATTTCGTCTTTGATCTCTCGCAGCAAGAGGCTGTTTCAGGCTCTGTACAATTGACGAAATATCCTGGCGGCAAGGTGTTATTGGTGTTTTCATAGTGGAAAAAGTATTGTGAAAAATTCAGAATCATTTCACGCGCAGCGAGAGACTTTACTCTTACTCGAGTAATTTTCTTTTTGCCAATGGAGGAGAGACCGAGTTTTTCTTGGTGTTTCATTCCCTTGGTGAAAAATTACCACCATCAAGGGGGTACCAAGGGGATCGTTTTTCTTCGCTGTGCACAAGAATTCCATCGATCGGATTGTAAATTATTTTATTAAATCCGCGCACATTTTCAGGATCTGCCTGCGCAAAAATTCGTTGGTTTGGGAAACGCGTGGAAAAATGGAATCGAACGGAAACTTTTTCATCGAACGCTTTGAAACGCGCGCTCTGTTAATGCGATTTTAATTTAATAAAAAAAAAAAAAAAAAATCTGTGTGCCAAATTTTAGTGGAAAACCAGTTTTTCAACTATTCGTGGTGTGAAAGTTTCTAGCATTGTGGTGGAACGATATTTGACGGAAATTGATCGGCCAGCTCCTTTGCAACGCGATATTTCGAGCGGATCTTCCGTTATCGAGAGAAGTTGGCGAGTGTTCGATGACACTCGGCGGGCGATTCGTGTCAACGACGCCGTTGTTACTTCGATTCGAGAGCGTTCGTTCCCGTTCAGAAATTCGGTGAGCCGCGGAAGATGAAACTTTTGTTCGTCCAAACCTCTCTCTGAAACGATCCGATGGAAATAATTCTTTTCTTCCAGAGAGAGGAAACGGTTTGATCCCGCGCTTCGATTCCAGAGAAAGATGGTATACAAAAGTGGATCGTTGTTCAACGACCGAATTAGAATATTATCAAGTTGAACATCTTCCTTCTAACGCTTGATTACCACCTAATTGCTCGGTTTTTTTTTTTTCGCTTCGAGGGGTTATCTCTCGACTCGAGGAGGAGACGACCTTACACAACAAATGTTGTTAATAAAAGAATTAATCTATTCCCAGCGTGAATTCCAAAGCGTTGGTTATTATTATTATTATTATTATTATTATTATTATTATTGTTATTTTTCTCGCTCTTAAAGTTTAAAGTTGAAAGTACACGTTTCGCGCTATTATCCGTTATCATCCGTTTGAGTAACATCTATCAGCACAGTTAACGAAACACGTGTTACGAATCCATGTCGTAACGCATTCAACGTATGCCTGCGTTCTCAAACAAGTACATGTTTGATCAGCTGTAGTTCTGTACGACGTTAATGTGGCGCGGAGAATTGCCTACAGCGGAGTAAACAAAATACCGTTTTCAGAATAAAGATCGATCGATATTAAACCGTAAGATATAATAATAACAGCGAGGAATTGTGCTCGCTGGATATGGAAAATATAATAATAATAATAACAATAAGAGAAAGAAGAAGAAGAAGAAGAAGAAGAAAAGTAATAAGAAATTTAATAATTTATTTATTTCTCGAGAAAAAAGTCTGAAAAAAAATTCGCCCTTTCGTTGATTCTCTCTACTTCCAAGTCGGCTCACGAAGCATCGAAAAGTGTCGTTTCGACGGTTGATCGACCGCCACGGTTAACGTTAATTCACGTTCATCCACTGTCATATACGCAAATATGGATGTGCAAAGCGAATCGAGTAAATGTTGACCCGAGATCATATAAATATTGGCTGAAACATCGGGTGTACGTATCGCGCGAGATCAACATTAAACGCGAACGTGTTTGCCATATGCCAATATTAATTCCTCGATAAATACTTATTCTTCGTTTTTCTCCATTCGCTCCCGTTCGCTCGTAATTGGGAAAAGGAAATATATCGTTCACGAAAATACATTGGCTGCAATAGAAACAAATATGGGACGGATTTAACGATACAGGTTATCGCGTACATCGACGCTCCACTCGAAATTATGAATTAAAAAAGTTCCATGTAAAAATTATATGGATTTGTTCTTTCTCTCTTTTTCTTTTTTTTTTTTTCTAATAAAATCGAGGCTTAGCTAACAGAGCGGCGCACATAACGTAAGATTTATGCAGCCCGGTAAAACACATCGATCTCGCGTTAATATCTAGGTCAATACGAAATCCTGTACATCGCACAATTGAACGTAAGCCAAGAGGGCGTGTGCAGGCCGGGCTAAAAAATTATTCTACCGCATAGAAGTGGGCCGGACGATGAATATCAAGCGCGTCCAAATAAAACAATTATTACGTCTATCATTTTTCTTGTCCCAAGAGGCTTTCATCTCTGGTGTCAGCCGGGAAACAGTAGGTATATTTATGGAAGATAATTAATTCGATAGCTGCTCTCAAAGCAGTTTACAGTTCGATCTTAAAGATTAATATCTCGGAAAGCCGGTCCTCGTTCGATGATAACGAAACGAAAATTTCGAAAAACATTCGAAAAATCCATCTCCTCCTCTTTCGAACCTAAAAATCGACAATGTCTTTCCAGCATTGACCAGCCATCTCGTATAATACAATAACCCACCCCTTCGATTCTCCCTCATCCTTTCTTCGCGCGAGTTTTGAATGGGAGGAAGAAAAGCCGCTTCATCGTGTCTTATCTCGGCCCACGATCGATTTCCTTTAATTAATCCGCGATCGTACACGCGATCCACCATGGACGACATCGGGCGGTAATGTTGGCGCGTGTCCCGTTAATGGCGGGGAATAATTCGTCGATCTGGGAATTACGATCGGTGGCCACCCGCCCGATATCTCACCCGAGCTCCGTTAACGAGGTCGCGATCGTTGAATTCGCGACGATGAATTCGCCACGACTCGTAAATACGAGCGCGATGTCGGTAAAGCGCGAGGGGGAGGGGGAGACGGCTCGATTTATTCGATCCAATTAATTCTTCGACGCGTAACCGCTCCTCTCTCTCCCTCCACCCGACTTTTGCGATTATCATGATCGAAAGTGTAATACGTTGGTGTTAATTGGCAATTTTCGTTACCGTAATTCTCGATAAATCGAATATAGATAGAGTCGATCCCGATTTTTCCATTCGTCGAGGTAGACAGGTGGGGGTTGGTGTTGCGCCGTCTATTCAATTGGGGAGAGGATGTTTCCGTTCAATTTGCAATTTCAAACGATAATTCCTCTGTCCCCGACGTTTCATCGGTTAATTTCGATTTTGTCGCTGCTATGGTGGTTTTTTTACAATAGACGAGGGGAAGAGGGGGGAGACTCGTTCGATAAGTTTTATTTTTATTGATATTAGTTGGAGCGTGAATCGTGTCCTCGAAATTGTTACGACAGGAAATGTTAAAAATGGTTTCAGCCGTTGTCTTTCGACGAAATCGACCGCAATGCCGACGAAACGTTGCAAAAAGCCGTTCCAAAAAAGAGACATTGTTGGAAACTTGACAATGTCAACCGTGCGGACAATTACGTACGATATTTATACGTTGGAAAATTCATTTTCCACGAATTAACCATCACACGTAATGATTATATTCCACGTTTCAAATATCGACGAATATCGATCCTTTCGAGTCAAGATTGATCGAGGTAGATTCGATTTCGAAAAATCAAAGGACGAATGGATAAAATTGAATCGAACGTTTCCTTCGATATTTTTCAGATTCGTCGTTGGTTCATCCCTCGCCGAGGGGGTGAAAATCGGCGATCGTACAATCGTAAACAATCGTCCCGACCGCGTCTAGGTCGACGCATTAGTCAACGGGTCGTGTATGCGTTTCCTTCCCTTCCTGTCCACGGCTCATTAATTTATGGTGTGTTTCGCGATCGTTCGCTGCATATCTGCAATCCGTGACCATCCATCCCATCCCTCGCACCCGATATTTTAATTATCCATGCGAGAGGAACCGTTTATTAGCGGAGAGAAAATTCATTTGATCAAATTTATAAAAAATAATTGTTTCACAATCGTCTTATACGTTTAAATCCTCTTTTTAAGCAAAATAGTATAGTGTAGTTGAGAAATATTCAGTGAATTTATTAAGAAGCGTTTGAACAACAATTTATTTTAATTTAATCGTAATATAAATTATCGATAAGTTTTTGAAAATTAAGCTTAAAGTTGAGTAATTCATCTTTTTATCGCGTTTCTTAAAAATTAAATCTCCAGAAATAATATTCTCCGATTAGGCTCTATCCTATGAATCTATTCTTGGGGGAAAAAGCACGCACACACGTTTAACATTCGAATTAACCTTTTCTTTTTTTTTTCCTCTCCATCCATATTTAACGTTAGTTCACCCTTCGAGCATCAAGTTCCATTCCTCTGATCTCACGGAGTGTTTATACTCTCTTGCACCCTTCCTCCTCCCTTCTCTCTCTCTCTCCCCTTAATTCAGTCCTCTGATATCGCGAAAACTTTCCACGCTTCGAGTTTACGAGAGTTTTCTTCCTTCGTTGTCTTGGAGCGCGGCTCTACTGTTTACGCGAATAATTCACTCGCGGAGCGGAAGTTGAGTTTAAACCGTGTATTATATTTTGAATACGAGCTCGTCGAGAGAGCGAATTGGATTTGTTCG